ACCTGGCACCCTGAACGGATTACCGAGCCACCCGGCAGTGCACTAACCAGTAGCCATTCCAACCGTCTGGCCTTCTACTGCCTTGCGCTGATACAGTCGATCGGAGCCCTCAGAACCCGCATGAAGCTAAAGATCGAGCTTGTCCCACAAGGTCAGCCGGAACGTATACACTCCCATGAGGAAGGTGTCATGAACTAAACCAAGCCCAAACACTCAGCCAAGCAGGGTTGATCCCGCAGAAGTGGGAAGACATCATTGGCGTCCAGTACCCTTTAGCAACGGATCACATAACCCATTTGGAGACCCCTGTTCAAGGGACCTCGACGGAAGTTTACTTAATACACCGAGATGCAAAGTGTTCGGGACAATCACGTAGGGTCGGCGTCAGTAGTCCAGGATCTCTACGGCTGCTTCCCCAAACAGAACGTCCAGGACCGCCTTCAGTCATCCTGGAAAGCTTCATCCCTTCTCAAGGTATTTGCTACTACGGAATGATCGAGGACAAGTCCTCAAACCATTATTGGAAATTACTTATGCACGATAGACGAGATTCAGACTTAGAGGCGTTCAGTCCTAATCCCCCAATGTGGCTAACTGCATCCACAGCCTAGCGACCATGAAAACGTACAATTATTAAGGACCATGCTAGGCGCGGTACGGAATGGCTTTTAGCCGCAGAACTGTAAACAACACCACGTTGCCTGGCGGGACCACGAAGAGGCAGCCGCCACCACAACCCCCAGAGGGCTCCATTTATGCGTGTCACCTAATATACCCATTCAGTTAGATAACGAGGCATTTGGCTACCTTAAGAGAGACATAGTTACTCCCGCCAAGTCTACAGACACTGGTTGACAACTGATTACATAAGAATCTTGTAGCTTGTGAACCGTTACACGATGAGACTATACCAATCACACACGAAAGGTCGGATAGTCTTTCTTCAGATAACAGGTTCAAGCAAAAACTATTTATTTGCATTGCAGCTGCTTACCGGATTTTATCAACAGCAAACTAGGAGGGAAATAGTGATAGTAAGAAACTCTGCCTAATGCTACTGCTTGAGCGTAATAACGGACAATGGTGGTTACAAAAATTTTACTTCACCTAAAGTTCTTTCATTCAAAGCTTATAAATGTCAATATACTTTTCAAACACACCATTTCTCATCAAAACATTTCAGAGGATAGTTTTTCTAACAAACTAAAGCACTTCTACTATCTAGAAACACTACGAATATTAGCATGAAATAAATGTGATGTTTTACGATTTTCTGAAACATATACTTGGTCAGAACAGAAACAAGCTTGCTCCTCGCCAGTCAGCCTTTCTCGAGTTTCGATCAGTCTGCGACATGGTGGAAGACAAATGTTTGAATTCGGTCGGAGGTGATTTACTTACTCATAACTGATACACAGATAACTGTGGCAACTGATATCGACTGTCATGACTAGTTAACTCCATTTTCATCACGTCATTCAAACGTAGCTTTCGCCCAGCTATACTGTTCAGTTAACTGGTAGCCAACCTAGGTGCATTATGTGATTGGAATTGAGACTACACCTTATACCAACCTACTCAGGATGATATTACGAGGACACGATGCAAAATTAATCAGTCAAAGGCTATTCGATTGGGCGGAATAATGCTTAGGTGGCTTGTGCTATATTATATCAAAGCGCAAACTCTGCCTAAGTTTGTCGGCCCTAATTTTAGAAAGAAAATGAATCGCAATACGATTCGCTTAACAGCCAGATGTTTCTGAAGTCCAAAATAACAAAGTGAATGGATGGTAAATAAGTATTCCACACCAGAAAACAAATGGGTGTAGCATTATAAGAATAGGATAGAGTACCTAGCATATGAAAAACTTTCCAAGCAGAGAGTCTAAGTTCACAAAACAATCATCCCTTGCCGTTACCTTGAGCTTAATTAGATACGTCCTTTTTGTCAATGACTCTGCTACAAGCGACAGCTGAATCGAAAGATAATGGTCAGTCTTTGCCAAATTCAAAGCTCAAAGACTAAGACAAAGGAGACTATGGAACCTGAGTAAAAGACCAGGTGAAAAGTCTGGGAAATAACATCGATGTACAGTAAAACGCTTCGGACAGTTTTTCAGTATATTCTTTCAGCTACAGTAGTCTGCTAAAATTTTGTGGACGACTATGCATTCGGTAGTTGATCATGATATGATCATTCATTTTGTAGTATAGAGTTGTAAACAGAGAACGTCAGAAAGCCTGTCGACGACGATCGATAGGGAAGCCTGTCCTCATGGATCACAATCAATAGCCTCCTGCAAACTGTGAAATAGGTCTCATCTGAAGCTTTTTAAACTTCAAAGGTTACTAATAAACAGTCTAAAAAATTCGCTTCGGACGTAACATGAGTCATAGCATGATAGGCAGAATCGTCAAAATTGCTGTTTGTTGTATCTGTGGATTAGGTAAAATATTTCCAGGAAGCCCAGATTGAAACAGATATTACAGTGGAAGAATTACGCCTCGTAATCCACTTAATTTCGAGGATCATTTAGCTTTCTAAATAGATTGAAATGATTATTTTGCTTTTGCATTTGGAGGTTGAAGTTTGGCATTGAATTATGAATGAATCACTAATGAGGAGTATCATACCAGGATGAAACGACTGTCAAGTTCTTCCAGGTGGTCGAACAATCATTCATTCATTATTTCAAGGTTAAGTAAGTATATTTCGTTAACACTTTTTCGGTGGATCAGTACTCTGTCTGAGTATCATAAAGTTAGTTACAGGAAGTTGCATCGCTAATGCTTCTATCACAACTTACCTATAATTCATCTAGTATATGGAGGGAGGTAATTGAATCATTGATTTTATTTCATTTCTTAATTTCAAATTCGGTTCTCCAGACACAGTTTCTAGGGCACATATACTGTATAACTATTATTATTATTATTGGATGCTAGCGGTTCTTATTATCAGCTATCAGCTTTGGTAATAAACTTATTTTGTGGCCTACAAAACTTGCAGTGATAGATTTTATTCATCCGTCAAATGTTATTCCCTGTGATTCGAAATCAGGTTTTATATTTTTTGGGGGCTCTTTATGAATATGTTCACTAACTCTGATTTGCTCTTGTGGTTGCTCTGCTGTTTACCTTGCGTGGTCTTTTAATAAGAAGTTTCCTCTCTTTACTGCCGTTTTGCGACTCATACATCATCTACAGATAGTTAAAAAATTGTCTTCTTACAATATTTGTTCGCTCGTTAGAAATGCTGATATTTTATGGACCAAATGTGATGTGTCTATAGAAAAGTATTGCATATAAGTCCGCTGGATGTGCTAGAATTTCTTTTCCATTCGGAAAATTCCATGCAGTCATTATGCCCTAGTACGCAAATAGGAATATTACATAAGTCAAAAGGGTTCAGAAAGTAGCAGCTAAACATGTACTTGAATTTGAGAATAGATGTTGTGCTGATTGCACAATGCTAAGAAAATTGGGACCTATGAAGGTCACGGGTATAGGAAGATACTACCATGTTTCTTTATTAAACTACACGTTGGTGATAACCACCTGGAAGTTTGTGTTAGCGAAGTTAGAAAACAGTGACTAAAGCACCTGGAACCGTACCTAAAGAACAAGAATCGAGCTCAAAGAAATCAATCGGTTTATACTAACTCGTGAAAAAGATATTGGATATTGGATATCTGCTAACAGTGAGAGACTGGTAATGTGTTTGTGGCAATATGCCGTCTAAATACCTATGTGAACCTCTGCTAGACTTTAAGGAAACCTACAGAGTATAGACTAATTGTTCCTGTTCAATGCTTTTTGCAGTCCTGTCAACCCTACTCTTTATGGAAAATCATGGCCCCAACTGCATACAGCTCTTTTGTTCGTGTCCATTTGATTCTTAGCTCTCGTATTATGCATTTTTCGTTCAAATGAATGCCTGCTATTAGGTTTTTGATGAACTATCTGCAATTCATAAACTTTCCTCTTTCTACGAAAATTGACCAAATCTGTACTCAATAGTTTAGGTTATAGGCAGATAGTCATATTAATTATTTACCCAATAAGCCCACGCACATTCAAAAAATCCTCATTTCTGATATAAAATGTGTTTGGTACTTTGTTTCTGATTTGTATCAGTGCAGTTATTTCATAGAAGGTGCGTGAACGCATTTAATCAGCATGATGCATAGAGATGTTAGGGTGCTTATTATATCCACAAGTTACGCTCCTTCGATGGAAGCATCCATTTACTTTTGATTATTTGGTTGATGTAATATTTTGATGAATTTCAAGAATACCAGCAAGCCACAAATTTTGGGAAATGTCAGTGTCAGGATAACATCTATCAGATTTCAAAAAAATACCAGAAATAACGTAGTCACTTGTTAGTAAAGGATGGCGAACTCTAGAGACTTGTTATGTAGAACCGCAAATATTGGCTTTAGATTCGATGATCGATATCAGTACTCAAATCAAAAATGATATGCAACTCTTATTCTAGAGTCAAAACGCCCTATGGGAGAGCTCGCAGTCCCTTCGGCTATCTTCAGAAATACTGAAACAAGAAGCTGATTATTACTTCTAACTCTCCACTTTTGTATGTTTAATTTTAATGGAAAAAAGGATATGTTTGTTTCAATATCCAATATGCTGAATGTTGGAAGTCGTCGGAATTAGATGCTTAGGGCTGAATTATTATCTAGAAAGACGAAACTCATAAATTAATGAGACAATGCACCAGAAAACGTCTGTGACGTTGGTTTTTACATGCTTCTTTGTACGAAATTTGCGTAAGAAATGTCATTTGCATGTGAGAATGTGTTTAAACCAACCAGTTGGAGCCACTCTTTTAGACCGCATAATTTAACCTTGGCGTCCAGATCGATGGGTAATGCTCAAACTGCTAAAAAGGGCGATCCTGCTGATGGTAAGTGATCATCTCCTCATTTATTAATATAAACATAACGCATTCAATTCATAATTTATATTATTTTTCAGTGAAAGCCCTTTTGGAAGAAGCAAAGAAAGAGTTTCTGGAAAAATGGGAGAAACCAGCTCAGGTTTGTCACTGTTCGGTTTATAATCTTTTTAGAACACTGCCACTCTAGATTCTTTCGATCGTATCAAAACTTTGGGTACTGGCTCTTTTGGACGAGTGATGCTTGTCCAGCACAAAGCTAGCAAGGAATATTATGCCATGAAAATTTTGGACAAACAAAAGGTTTTTGAAATTTTTCTGTATCACTTGCTTTGTTTACAGGTGGTCAAATTAAAGCAAGTTGAACATACTTTAAACGAAAAGCGTATTTTGCAAGCTATATCTTTTCCGTTTCTTGTTCGTTTGGATTATCATTTCAAGGTAAGTGATAAAATCATGCTCTCAATTACGATAGCAATGATCCTGGTTTATGGATCAATTATTACTTTCAACGTACTTATATATGGTTCGTAGGGATTTTGGGGTTATTTTCGAGCTATTTTTTGTAATTTGAACGGTGTGATAAGAACCAAGTGATACATCACAAAATATAACTTGTTATATTGGGTCACACATAAACTTGTCAAGAATATTTAGACATGAAAATGTGGAATGTAAAATGGAAGGTTATTTAAGGACATTTGGAAATTTCGAATCTTATTCGATTTCTGAATACTGATACATTCAGATGTCAAGATAAATTAGTCGATCTGATCGGATCACACATGACCATTGCCAATATCATCAGGTATATATATAGCTTACTATAACAAATTCGTAATCTTTATCGTTGCCTAAGAAATCACGGATTAATGATAATCATCAATTTAGTTCAGATCAGTCCTAATCTATATATCACTAAGTTATTTTCTATGGTATTGTCTACTAATGAAAGCGAATCACTTCTTGCTTTTAATTTTATGTCGTAAACGCAGATGTCTGAATAGGTCAGCGCCTTATCTGAAATTAACTGAGTATGCTAGTTCTTCGTCATTAGATAATCAAAGTTGGTGTTAAGTCAAATTATTAGATGAAGCGGACCAATTTTATATACCTAGACCAGAGCAGATAAGCATGATAACATCTCAGAATTTGAAATAACAAAAAAACTACGGACATCTTGCCTAAACCTGATAATGGATCAGTTGTGTCTGTTATGAAAAGTGTGAATGTAAATACAAGATATTCATCCTCAGTGATAAGACCTAATTTAAAATCTTTCCGTCTGTAGGCGATATGTGTACTATCTCATAGTTATCTCTGGTTAAAAGTAGGTCGTCCATTGTCCGTTGAATAAACATAACACTCAAAAACCAAACCAGTCTTTTGTGTGAAGAGTAAAAGAAAAATAAACTTCCTTTTCAAGACATATAAATAGGAGAGAAGATGGTTCAAATAACCGATCCATTTTTAGAAAACCAACTGAGATAGGCCACAATCTTAGTTATCATAATTATTGCGTAGTTCAATAGAAATGGGGTTAAAAAATGAGATGTTTAGTAGGATATTTGTATCTGTACTAATGGTGATATTGAAAGCAAAGTGAGGTTGTTAAAAAAGCATTGATGAAAAATGGCTACCTTATAAACTTCACGAATCGATAGAAAGGTTACAGTGTAGTGAGACTATATTTGTAGCGCATAAAAAGTGCGTTTATCCCAATCTACCGTCTAGAGGTGATTCAAATAGATTTATATTGAAACAAAGGCTCAAATCTGTTATAAACAGAACGTACTGCTCAACTGAGATCATTATCCTAGAAGGAACAAGATCTATGCTCCATCGAAAGCTTAAAAAGCATATCAACGATTGCATCACATCCCTTTGTATTTATCATCTTCGATGTGTGTCTGTCCATACATAAATAGAAAGGAGTAATCATGATATGCAAACTGAATGACTCAATGGGAGCAGATGTTAAAAATCCGCCGTACTCCATTGCTAAATGTATTAATCGCTCTTAGAAACCGCCAGAGGCTCATGAGAAGCTGAAGCACTTTCATGCAATCACAGCTCGACAAAATTTCTATAATGTCGATGTGACAATGTGATTGAATCATGACGTAACATCTCTCATTGAGGATTGGGTGATTTTATATGCCGTTTTCACTCAGTACGAAGCTATAGATACAGTTTCTCCAATCGTATTTATCATTTCAAAGAGGTATATATGTATATGTATATACACAGATTTGGATACAATCGCAAATTTGTCATACATAGTAGCCATTTCATTCGTATTTTCAAAATAAACTTTTCATCAAACACACGTCTATAATGAGAAATATCTATTAAATTGTAAGTAATCTACATAGTGTCTTTAGATTCTACACCCAAACCTGGAGGTCCTCTCGAACCAGATGTTTTTGAAAGGACAGTATAGCCTATCTTAATCATTTATAATATATACATGGATAGAAAGTCAGTGCATGAACCTCAACTAGGTTTTTCGGCTATGTTACAATCTGTACGCATTTCTGAAATATGTTTACAAAATATGTAGTTTATTAAGTAGATGTAATAAATCACTTATTTTTCTAATGATTTAAAACCTTCCATATCGTGTGGTTATATTTTAATACAACAGGATAACAGCAATTTATACATGGTACTGGAATTCGTCAATGGGGGCGAAATGTTTTCTCATTTAAGACGCATTGGTCGTTTCAGGTAATTAATGTGTTGTGATTATTTTTTGAGTAGTAATTCATAACCTGTTTATATGTGCACAAGCAAATTATTCGTTATGCTTGCACAATATTGCCGAATTTTATTATTATTATGTTAAGTCGATTGCACTAAATTGTGTGAACTGGAAAATTCATAAGATCATTTCCTTTTTTTGTCGTAGCAAACGCGGGAAGTTTCTGTGTACATAAATCAATAAAAAAAACATCATCACTTTAGAAAGTTAGTGGAAATTGTTCAGTTTTGACCATTGATCATCAAAAAACGATACCAGCTAGGGAACCGCCTATTAAAACTCAGATCGTTGAAGAAATGTTTTATTCTTGATTGGAACATCTCGGAAATATAAAGTGACTCCTTGGCCAGCAGTCAAATACTGACTGTTGAAATCTTAGGATCATTGCAATCAATACGATCAAACCTCAGAGTGGGAATCCTTTTTTAAACTTCAGTTCATTCTCTGCAATGAGCAAATTTTATTTACTGTCGTTAGTGATATCTGTTTCACTCCTTACATAGTTATGCTTCAAAGAACTCCAGCTAGTAAGAGTGAATGTCTGATTAACTAGTTCTTTGCTGTTTCGAAATTTCGTTTAGCTATCCTTTATCAATATACAGTTTACTTGTTATCTATATTTTTTCATTTTTAAGGTTTTCAATTTCTAGTAACACTTAGTTATTTCGTTAATATAGTGTTACTACCATCCCTTCAAAAGTAAACCAACCTCGAATATTACCTTTTTTGACTTATCTTTCATCTTGTTGCATTAATTTTTTACAAGAGAGATATTCAGTTTAGGTGTGACAGTTTTTGCTGTGAAAAACTACCCTACTTTCAACAAGCCAAGATTAGAACATGCAACTTTAACTAGTAAGCCTTTCATTCACATCGTATTTTCAAATATTCATTAATTCCTTCAGATTGGTAGGGTATTTAATAGGATGTATATCAGGAACAAGTATTAGATGTATGAAAAGTAAATTTATAAGTCAATGACAAGTGGACTGAGTCATGTTGGTAGGTGTAGGCTATCTGGTTGGGGTCCGCGAGATGATAATAATCGATGGTTAGAGACCTTGAACAACATGGCTCAGAATCGTTTGAAATGGCGCAGGTGCATCCACTCTTTGTGTTCTATGAAATACTAAGCTTCTGAATTCCTCATAATCTCTACCTTTCTGCTTCTAAATTTATCTTAGTGAATTATACTTCTCGAATTATATCTCATTTCCCCTAACTCCCCGCCCCATTTGTTATTCGGTTTAATGATGAAGAATACATTTTTTGAGAAACAGGAAATAAGTCAATATCTAAGGGCTTTTGAAGTATAAGATGTATGAAAAGTAAATTTATAACTGGAAAATGAGTAACGAATTTAAAGTACATTGAGATATATAAGACGGACAAAAGTATCTACGTCATCTTAGATATCTCCTAATACTGATCATGTAAGGTATAATTAATTAAAAAAGAAATACTTCCACACTATGTATCTTTTACTAAACAAGGAAAATAATAAACTTCAACAATTGGAAATTGTATCAAATACAGGTTGCATCAAAAGAAACTTTTAATTGGTTTAAAATTTTAGTTTTAATTAGAGTCAAATAGTGATTAGCAGTAGAATCCAGGATGCGCATCTCGTCATATTTCGAACTCATCAGTTGAATCCACTTGTACTGAAGTATTGATATTCACACTGAGGGTCAAACCCAGTAGATTTTGATCCAAACACCCAATGAGTCCCAAATAGAACGAAATGCGTATCCAAGATCCCATTGCTTGCCGTTCTATTTAAAACATTCCATGAAAGGCAGTATAGAAATCATATGAACATGACACAAATACCAAAAATAAACTCATTAACTGGTTATCATTAACATCTACAAGGGGGAAGATACAAATAAATCAAAGAGTAAACGCTTTTGAAAATAACAAGAAAGCTCATTGTAAAATATTTGGTTAATACACAATTGATTTGAGAATATTTGTTTAATTGATAGCAGTGAATAACTAACTAATGATTTCGATTACGAAGATGCGTTCATTAACTATAAATTGTGTTCAATGAGTAGTTTTATAGCGCAAACTTTTTTAAAATATTAACTTTTAATAACTTGGTCGTAAAATAAATTATATTAGATTAAAAATAGTGTATTTTCTAAATCTTAAATCAATGTTAGTGTTTTTTGTTTACTAGGTGTAGGTTAATATACACAGCTTTGAACCACATTGTTCGTACGCTAGCTAGTGTGTGATAATACCGAACTGCCTAAACAAAAGGGTTTTATGAGGTTCAGATCGTCCTCATATTGATAACGAGAGAGCGGTACTTGAATGATTAGACCACACTAAAATGATTTACCAATCACAACGAAGACTCTACTAAAATGAACAAGTTAGTCACAAACACTAAAACCTTGGAAACATTTTTGTCAGCTCATATCACAGCATCATACTATAAACAGCAGAGTAACTGAGGAACTTAACATGATTGAGAAGTAAAGACGGTAATCAATAGCAATACATAATGGTATAGTTTGAAAAGTCTATACTGACAAGAAAAACGAAATTCCTCCTGTAATAATCATGGTGATATCGACTTAACTAATGTAGTGTCTAAAACTTTAGCTTCAATAATACTTCAACGGCTAACTAGAGCTCGTGAAGGGCAGATCCGAGAAAGTAAGGCTGATTCTAGACCTACAGCAAATATTCACCCTTTGGCAGGTCCTAGAACATAGACACACATGTCGACGTCCGACAATGTTCGTATTTTATGACCGTAAGACGGTGTTCGCCCCTGTTGATTGTAAGGTTCTGTGGCAGTGTCTGTTATTGAAAGGTCTACCGAAGAAGTACATTAACCTTATACAGGCTCTCTACTCGAACACTAATGGACGCTGGTCGCCAGCCGGTATGACGGAGTAAGGTTGTGATCGGAGTTGACGAACTCATCCGGCCGAAAACTAACTCGCTAAAAAACTCAAATCAAAAAAATGATTTAAGCCATATACACCTAGCTCTGGGAGTTTGAAGGTTTTCATTTAGAAGAGTTATGTCGTTTCATTATGAAGGCCGATGCCCATTCTGACAACTAGAGCCGTTCCATAGTATGGGCAGCCGAAATGTGATAACCACCTTCATACCAGTAAATTGGTCACAATCTCATCCTTTCTTCATCTATTAACTCTCATCTCTTTAACCAACCCTTCTTCCGATCGTTTTTACCTCACGTCACTGAAGCAAACGGTTTGAGCTCACGAAACATGAATCCTGGTCTCTCAAAACCCCTTACTAAATTACTTGTTGCAGCTTTTATTGTTCGGATCTTATGCCAAAGAGAACAACAGACTTCATTAGCTAAAACTCTGGAATCCTGTGTAATGGATGTATGTTGCGTCTCCGAAAGGCGCATACAAGATCCGAGTAAAATCATCAATTTGATCTCACCTGGTGCAGATGGAGACACAACACTGCCTTCGCTTCATGTTTCAGGTAGTCTTAATGCTGCTTCCCGTGGCCTCGCTGGTGTATGTGTAGTACTACGTCCTAGGGCAGAACAAGCTCTCCTAGATTGGATCCCATTAGACAGTCGCTTATGCACTGTTAGACTAAACGGGTCGGTACGGACTCGGAAGGATAGGGCCACGCCGTTGTCTCTTCGTCTTCTCTGCCCACGCTCCCACTTACTACAGTTCAGACGAGGTGAAAGATGAGTTTTACGGAAAACACTAATCTTCAGAAGGTTAGGCGCTCTGACATAGTAATAATTGCCGTGACTTTAATACTCAAGTAGGTTGACTAGGTGAAAAGGCAAGACACCTGGCTGGATCTTATGGTGTCGCGGCTAATAGAACAGATAATGACGACGGTGTTTCAGGTTTAGCAGTTAGATTGACCGAGATCTTAGGTAGAATCCGGGAAGTAGGCGTAATCCCATCTCACTTGTTCCAATCATTGATTGTCCCAATTTATAAGAAAGTACAAAAGTCTTCTTGTGATAATCACAAGGGAATCAGTCTAACTAATATAGTTTCTAAATGTTAACGTCAATTATCCTTATACGCCTAACTAGTGCTCGTGAACTTCAGAGTAGAGAAAACCAGGCTGGTTTTCGACCTGTCATTGAAAGGTATACCAAAGAAGTACATTAACCATATACAAGCTCTCTACTCGAACACTACTGGTCGAGTGAGAGCTTATGGCGAACTGTCATCGGAATTCTTTACTCCAAGTGGTGTCCGTCAGGAATGTTCACTTTCCCCATTCTTGTTCAATTTTGTCATAGACATGATCCTAGATATAACCTTATCCTCGTCTGAATTTTCAGGAGTAGAATTTCTACCAGGAAAATTGCTTGTTGACTCAAAATATGCCGATGACATAATTCTATTCGGTGAAGACACTGACAAAAGGCAGTTGGTGTCCGCAAAAATATAATAATCGATGGTTAGAGACTCTGATTAATGTGGCTCATAACCGTTTGTAATGGAAGAGATGCATTTACTCTTTTTGTTCTATGAAATTCTAACCTTCTGAATTTTTCATCAGCTCTGTCTTCTAAATTTACCTCACTTAATATGGGATTTGAATCGACAATTATATCTCTGTGCTAATGTCGTATGGCAACTTGAACTGCTGTACTTGCGTGCAAAGTTCTACGTTGCTGTTGATGATGATGATGATAAAACAGGTGAAAGCGATTACCATTCGGTATTTTACCCGAATCGTATAAGATGATCTCAAAGGATGAGTAGATGGAATGTCCTATGTTTATAACCTGTTTCAGAATGAATGATACGACGAGGTGATTTTGAAGTACCGCCTATATGCCTTGCTCTACGAAAGTAGATGAAATGGTATACACGCATTGAAGTAGTCAGTGTTGGCAAATTGTCTTTCACTTGAGATGGGGGGAATATTAGAAGATAGTTTATGCGGAGATTTACGACGAGAATTAACTGATTAAAAAGGATTCCTCTACTAACTAAATCGTATTTTACAAATTTTTTAAACTGAATAATGGTAATGATTGAAATCTATGGAACATAATATGTATTGTTGTAATATTAAGTGAATTTATACTTTTATACACTAGAAAAAAATAATCGATGTTTCCTCTCTTCAACGATTAATATTTTAATAATGTATATATACACATACGATGACCTAAATTTATATAAAATGAGATAGTGATTTCATGATTAATTTTGTATTGTATTGTGTATGCGATATGCTCTTTTTGTATGGATTGTGAATAAATACAGTGCCATTATTTATTATTTTGTTAGTATCACGAGCATGTGTTTATAGCAGCTAAAACCTTTATCTACATAACCACGTTTGTTTGTGTGTGTGCATGGGGACATGATCATCCATGTGGCCATCATCATCACATTTACATTGATATACTATGTTCATATATTACTCATTGTTCAAATTGTTTATCCTGATATGTGTTTGTGTATATTTGATCATGACTATGTTTTTTCGAAATCTGAACATATTCTCTCTTTCACATATTTAATTAGATAGTATGTAAACTTCATTTTAACCTAGGTTAGCTGCATAATACATAAAAGTTGTTAAATAACTTTCTTGTTTAATTTAAAGCAATCTATTGACTGATAATATGAAATCCTATTGAGTAAACTAGAAACATTTTTTCCCAAGTTTTTGATGACAGTTTATCTAAGGTCAGTTCCTGGTTTAGATTGTGAAAATTCTACAATATCTGCAACTCCCTAATATTTACACTAATCATATGTTCACTAGTGAGAAGCTATGACCTTTTGAGTCCTATCCGTGTTGGGTGTGGGAAATTTATCGTGAATTGATTGAAGTTAGTAACAACGTTAAATGACGGCTCAGTAGTCTCAGTCATTTGATCAGTCACTCAGTCGGTTGTTTTTGCCGCCCCTAGCTTTCTTCCAACCGACTCCTACATCAGACAACGTCTAGTGTTTACCGTTCATGCACGAGACTGAAAATCTTACGTTTAACTTCCGAGTTGCTGGTTTGTGGATCTGCACTGTTGAACTCATATGACAAATATTTACTTATTTTCAAAAAATAGAGTGATGTGATTGTTTTGGCTCGTTTGTTTTTCTAAATCATAAACTGTCGGGTTTCAACTGTGAATTACAACTGTTAAAAGTGTTTAGTTAATTGTTTTTGTTAATAATTTTCAAAAGGAAATAGATGTTTGGTTTCTTTCTATACTTATCTAGAATGAATACAACCAAGTACTATCATATGAGTAGTATAAATTATCGCCTAACGAAAACCCAATCCACATATTTCTAGATATTTCAGTGTATGTTCTTACCTCATTAATTTTGCAATATCTTGAATTGCGCAAAGTGGTTTAATCTGAAAATTTGAATGATTGAATTTTAGCTTGTAGGTGACAACCTCATAGTGAGACACAAAGACAAGGGATTCAATCCCTGATGACATCATGTGTGTGAATAACTGTCCATTAGTTTCCAAGATGATCTCCATTTGTGATGGAAAAACTTTCATATTATGTAGGTTTCCATAAACTCTTCAGCCAATTGATATCATACCTAGAGGCACTGTACGACAGTCTCGTCCTAGTATGGTACACATCAGCAGTAGGCATCCACGATCCCAGCTCGTGTGAGTCGAACACATCAGCGACTAGCTTCTTGGGGAAATTCTCGGAGCTTTAGTGCGAAGCCGTGACCCTGATCTGAATTCATTCATACGTTGTCACTCATATACTCTGCTTATTGACTTTTATCATTTTTTTTAACCTGGTCCAGCTTGTTTTCATCTTTCTTAAATGACTACATCAAGCATGCAGTAAGCACATCACTAAATAAAAAACACTGTAAAATACTTGAAATTTAATTCTATATTCTTATTCCCACTATTGTTCAGTCAATCAATAGCAACGTAAGACTACGCACGTACGTACATACATCAGTTCATGTTGCCATACGACATTAGCACGGAGATGTAATCATCGGTTCAAATCCCATAGTAGTGGAGGTAGTAAAGGTATTAACAGTAATCGGAGAGATTAGGATTAGAAGATATTATTCAAGAAGCAGAATCTAGTGAAACAAACTTAAAAAGATAAAGATAAAGTGATGAGGAATTAAAAAGTTGAGGATTTGAGAGAACACAGAGAATGGATGCACCTGCGCCATTGCAAATGGTTATGAGCCACATTAATCAGAGTCTCTAACCATCGATTATTATATTTTCGCGAACACCAACCAGGTAGTCGACACCTACCGACATGACTTAGTCCACTGGTCAGTGACTTCATGGTTTTCTGCAATGATTTGGTCTGGCCGCCCCTAGCATTCTTCCAACCTATTCCTACACCACAAAACAGCTCGACGAGGCAGTCGGTGGTTAGGCATACGTAACACATGTCCCAACCACCTCAACTGATGAAGTTTCAATAATTCATCTATTGACCTGCCATCCTTACTTAGCAACAGCATTGCTCACTTGGTTGTCCCAGGATACACGAGCAATGCTTTGGAGGTACCTACGATCGAAAACAAGTAACCTACGAATATCTTCCACTCTGAGTGGCCATGTTTCACAGTCATAAAGTAGGATGGAGCGAGCTACTGCTCAGTACACTCGTCCTTTGGTTAGCTAACGGATATCTCGCCTGCAGCATAAGTGACGCAAGTTGGCCAAGGCCAATCGAGCCTTTTGTTTCGGTGCTGAAAATTACTTTTTCTTTTTAACGTTCTTTTTGGGGAGTTAGTTTTTTGGCGGGATGGGGTCGCCAACCCAAATCTCAACTTTCCTCCTTCACCCGTGGCTGGGATCGGCTGTAGCCTCGAAGGGTCTGCAGGCGGAGTTTCCAATAAGGTTCCGACGACAATTACCTGGAATGGAATGACAGTAGCATACATTTATTTGTAGCGCTGAAACGATTACTTAAATGTCAAAACAGGCTGCTAGGAATCTAAAGTATCAGTAAGTAAGATATCATTCTGTTTTCTAAAAAATCAAAGACTAATTTATTGTTTTTATTTTTAAGCACTATATTCTGTTGCTAATCTTTATTAGGAATTTATAAGCATTTCTATGTACCTGTTTCTTTTTTTCAATAATTTTGTTTTACATGCTTATAGTGAAAGTCATTCAAGATTCTATGCTAGTCAAGTGGTGTTGGCATTTGAATATCTGCATCATTTAGAATTGGTCTACAGAGACTTAAAACCGGAAAACATTCTTATCGATCAATATGGATATTTAAAGGTAATTTTAGTCACACATTTTTTCGTGTTTTCATGAAATTCAAAGATAACATAACCTAATCCATTGCAGAATTTAGATTTAATTGAATTATCAATTGTTGGGTTGCAAGTTAAATTGCTTAGATTGTCTTAAGTATGCCTTACTGATACATTTTGAGAGGCCAGGATTCATGTTTCGTGAGCTCAAACCGTTTGCTTCAGTGACGTGAGGTAAAAACGATCGGAAGAAGGGTTGGTTAAAGAGATGAGAGTTAATAGATGAAGAAAGGATGAGATTGTGACCAATTTACTGGTATGAAGGTGGTTATCACATTTCGGCTGCCCATACTATGGAACGGCTCTAGTTGTCAGAATGGGCATCGGCCTTCATAATGAAACGACATAACTCTTCTAAATGAAAACCTTCAAACTCCCAGAGCTAGGTGTATATGGCTTAAATCATTTTTTTGATTTGAGTTTTTTAGCGAGTTAGTTTTCGGCCGGATGAGTTCGTCAACTCCGATCACAACCTTACTCCGTCATACCGGCTGGCGACCAGCGTCCATTAGTGTTCGAGTAGAGAGCCTGTATAAGGTTAATGTACTTCTTCGGTAGACCTTTCAATAACAGACACTGCCACAGAACCTTACAATCAACAGGGGCGAACACCGTCTTACGGTCATAAAATACGAACATTGTCGGACGTCGACATGTGTGTCTATGTTCTAGGACCTGCCAAAGGGTGAATATTTGCTGTAGGTCTAGAATCAGCCTTACTTTCTCGGATCTGCCCTTCACGAGCTCTAGTTAGCCGTTGAAGTATTATTGAAGCTAAAGTTTTAGACACTACATTAGTTAAGTCGATATCACCATGATTATTACAGGAGGAATTTCGTTTTTCTTGTCAGTATAGACTTTTCAAACTATACTATTATGTATTGCTATTGATTACCGTCTTTACTTCTCAATCATGTTAAGTTCCTCAGTTACTCTGCTGTTTATAGTATGATGCTGTGATATGAGCTGACAAAAATGTTTCCAAGGTTTTAGTGTTTGTGACTAACTTGTTCATTTTAGTAGAGTCTTCGTTGTGATTGGTAAATCATTTTAGTGTGGTCTAATCATTCAAGTACCGCTCTCTCGTTATCAATATGAGGACGATCTGAACCTCATAAAACCCTTTTGTTTAGGCAGTTCGGTATTATCACACACTAGCTAGCGTACGAACAATGTGGTTCAAAGCTGTGTATATTAACCTACACCTAGTAAACAAAAAACACTAACATTGATTTAAGATTTAGAAAATACACTATTTTTAATCTAATATAATTTATTTTACGACCAAGTTATTAAAAGTTAATATTTTAAAAAAGTTTGCGCTATAAAACTACTCATTGAACACAATTTATAGTTAATGAACGCATCTTCGTAATCGAAATCATTAGTTAGTTATTCACTGCTATCAATTAAACAAATATTCTCAAATCAATTGTGTATTAACCAAATATTTTACAATGAGCTTTCTTGTTATTTTCAAAAGCGTTTACTCTTTGATTTATTTGTATCTTCCCCCTTGTAGATGTTAATGATAACCAGTTAATGAGTTTATTTTTGGTATTTGTGTCATGTTCATATGATTTCTATACTGCCTTTCATGGAATGTTTTAAATAGAACGGCAAGCAATGGGATCTTGGATACGCATTTCGTTCTATTTGGGACTCATTGGGTGTTTGGATCAAAATCTACTGGGTTTGACCCTCAGTGTGAATATCAATACTTCAGTACAAGTGGATTCAACTGATGAGTTCGAAATATGACGAGATGCGCATCCTGGATTCTACTGCTAATCACTATTTGACTCTAATTAAAACTAAAATTTTAAACCAATTAAAAGTTTCTTTTGATGCAACCTGTATTTGATACAATTTCCAATTGTTGAAGTTTATTATTTTCCTTGTTTAGTAAAAGATACATAGTGTGGAAGTATTTCTTTTTTAATTAATTATACCTTACATGATCAGTATTAGGAGATATCTAAGATGACGTAGATACTTTTGTCCGTCTTATATATCTCAATGTACTTTAAATTCGTTACTCATTTTCCAGTTATAAATTTACTTTTCATACATCTTATACTTCAAAAGCCCTTAGATATTGACTTATTTCCTGTTTCTCAAAAAATGTATTCTTCATCATTAAACCGAATAACAAATGGGGCGGGGAGTTAGGGGAAATGAGATATAATTCGAGAAGTATAATTCACTAAGATAAATTTAGAAGCAGAAAGGTAGAGATTATGAGGAATTCAGAAGCTTAGTATTTCATAGAACACAAAGAGTGGATGCACCTGCGCCATTTCAAACGATTCTGAGCCATGTTGTTCAAGGTCTCTAACCATCGATTATTATCATCTCGCGGACCCCAACCAGATAGCCTACACCTACCAACATGACTCAGTCCACTTGTCATTGACTCAATGGATTTGTGCCATGTTTTGGTTTGGCCTCCCCTAGCTTTCTTCCAACCTACTGCTACACCGCAAAACATACCTCGTTGCGGCAGTCGCTGGGTAGCCATGCGTAAAACATGTCCCAACCGCCTCAACTGATGAACATTCCCTTCTTGATCGATTGATCTGCCACGCCTACCTAGTACTTGTTTCTTGACGACAGCATTGCTTACTCGGTTGTCGCAGGATATACGAGCAATCCACTGACTACGTGCATTTGTAACACGTTTGGCCGCCCCTCGCGTTCTTCAAGCCTGCCCTAACACTGAAAAGCTTAGTGAGCACCATATATCGCTCTGCCTGTACCTTACTTTTCTACTACCTACTCCTAAAATACAAAACGTCACTTGTTGAGGCAGTCCTGACTGACTCAACCAATGAAATCAAACTGCTACCTTGATCGAGTTAGCATCCCTACCTAGTACTCCATTGTCCCAAGCTACAAGAGCAATCCTTTCGAGACACCTATGATCGAAGACAAGAAACCCTACGAATGTCCTCTACCCTCACTAGTCATGTTTCACAGCCATAAAGTAAGACGGAGCGAACTTCTGCTCAGTACACTCGTACTTTAGTCAGCAAACGGATATCTCGCCTGTAGCATAAGTGACGCAAGTTGGCCAAAGCCAGTCGAGCCTTCTGTATCCATGGCGAGATTTCGTCAGTCACCAGACCATCAGCACTGATGAGACTCCCCAGATAAGTGAAGCAATCTACACACTCAACTACTCCACTCCCTATGACTAGTTTAGATGCCGACGCAACCCAATGTTGAAGCAACATTTTGCATTTCGAGGGTGAGAACCTCATGCCGTACATGCTTGTATTTTTGCTCAGGGTGGTCAGAAGACTCTGAATTTTGTTAGCTTCTTCACCAAGTAGGACTATGTCATCGGCGTAATCTAAGTCGATAAGCGAGCCACCTGGAAGAAGGTCTACTCCTGAAAATTCAGACGAGGATAAGGTTATTTCCAGGAGCATGTTTATGATAAAATTAAACAAGAATGGAGAGAAAGGACATTCCTGAGGCGCACCACTTGAAATAATCGATTCCGGTGACAGTTCGCCATAAGCTCTCACTCGACCAGTGGTGTTCGAGTAGAGGGCTTGTATAAGGTTAATGTGCTTCTTTGGTACACCTTTCGATGATATACACTGCTACAGAACCTCACGATCTACATAGTCGAGTGCCGCTTTTAGGTCCAGGAAGACAACTATTGTAGGACACCTAAATGTGTGTCTGTGTTCCAGGACCTGTCGTAGTGTGAAGATGTGGTCTATGCAACCACGTCCAGGTTGAAAACCTGCTTGGTTTTCTCTAGTCTGAAGTTTCTCGAGCTATAGTTAGACGTCTAAGTGTAACGGAGGCTAACGATTTAGAAACTCTATTAGTTAGACTTATTCCTCTATGATTGTCACAAGAGGACTTTCGTCCTTTCTTGTAGATTGGTACAATCAGGGATTGAGACCAGTCGGATGGGATTACGTCCAGTCCCCAGGTTCTATCTAAGATCTCAGTCAACCTAGCTGCTAAATCTGGACCACCATCCCTAAATATCTCAGAGGTAAGCCTATCAGGACCTGCTGCTCTACCTCGTTTTAGATTTCTTATAACTTTCTCAACTTCATGTAGACTAGGAGGACTAATATCAATTTGCCATTCAGGATGACTGGGGATCGTGGGCAACCGAAATGTGGACGACGATCAGTTGAACTGATCCCTAAAGTGTTCTGCCCATCGGTCCAATCTCCTGGATTGAGAATAAATGATAAAGCCATCCTTCTCTGAGATAGTCTCACTCACATTTGGGTTCCTAATACCGGTTTCTTTAATAAGGCGGAAAAGTTGTCTAGTGTTGCCTATCGCTGCTGCCTTTTCCATCGCTCTTGCTTTCGCCACCCACCACTGTTCATGGTCGTTGCGCAGGCTTTTTATCAGCCTGCGCTGAAGCTGTCTTCGTTCCCCGCCATGTTCAGAGCCAAGTGAGATGAGGTTTTGAGAATCCATCAGTTCGGTGAATGCGACTGAAATCCACGGCTTCATCCTAGCCTTATGGTTTACCTTGATAGCAGATATCACTGCTGTTTCCACAGCTTTTTTGATATCATCCCAAGCTGCCTCAGGGCGGGCATCATTTACTACATGGCTGCTTAAATGTTTTTCTACTTGTTCGTGAAATATATACTTAGCTTTATTATCATTAAGTAGAGCCCTACGAGGTTTCCTTGCGTCCAGTAAGGCGCAAACAAATACGCGCTCGCACTAGAGGATGATATGTTTCTAAACATGTGCCCCAGAACGAGCGACAGTCCTCTATCGAACCTCTCCATCGGTGGCTGATAGTGATGTGATCTAGTTGTGTCTAAAATATTAAGGTACTCACGTTCTGTCTATTCAAGCACTGAACTTTGTAATGTGGTGTTCGTACATTCAGCCTGGTAGTTGAAAGTCGAATTATATAACCTTACAAATTTTTATCCATATCTTAATCGCAAAATATAGTTAGATATC